GATGAACCCATAACTCAATATCAAGATTCTCAATGGAACGAACTCATCCAAGATTTAAATAATTTATCAAATTTATCCATCCCCAGATGTGTATCACTGCCCAACGCGGTATCATACTCCCTCCACGGCTTCGGGGACGCTTCAGAACTTGGACTTTCAGCATGCATCTATCTAAGGACGGTAGATTCATCAGGGAACGTAATGGTACGTCTAGTCATTGCTAAATCACGTGTAGCTCCCAAGAAGACTACACAAACTATTCCCAAGCTCGAGCTCAGTGCTGCTCATCTAGTTTTCAAACTACTGAATCATGTAGCGGATTCATATGATGATTCTATTCAATTGCACAGTATCAACGCATGGTCGGACAGCACCATTGTGTTATCATGGTTAAATACAGCACCTCACATGCTTCAAACCTTTGAATGCAATAGGGTTCAAGCGATTCAAACTTCCAAACGATTAATGACCTGGCGTCATATAAGATCAGAGTTAAATCCAGCAGATGTAGGGTCAAGGGGCATGTCAGCCAAGGACCTACTTGGATGTCAATTATGGTGGTCACCCTCCTGGTTACAAAGAGACGAGTCTCAGTGGCCACAGTTACCAGTCACTATGCCTCATAATTTACCTGGATTCAAGAAATTGATCAATACAGTCACTCCAGTTGAGTCATGGGAGGACACATTACTATCACGGGTCAGTTCATACACCAAGTTAATAAATGTTACTTCATATGTACTCAGGTTTTGCAAGAATATCAGATTACCTAGGGAGAAAAGGAATCATGAACCTACACTTTCAATAGAGGAAGCGCGCGACGCCACAAAACACTGGATTAAGAAAATCCAATTGGATGCATTCAAGGACGAAATCGTACTTATCAAAAAGGGCAAGTTGGTTTGTAAATCATTGCAAAAGCTCAGTGTGTTTATTGATGATGAGCACTTCATTCGAGTTGGGGGACGACTACGAAAATCTGCGCTTCCGTATGGTGCAAAACATCCATACCTCATACCCAAGGATCATAAATGGGGTCAATTATTAATTGAGTATTATCACAAGTCATATTGTCACGCAGCAACAAACGCGCTCATCGCGTTACTCAGAAGGGAGTACTGGATTACTTCAGTCAGACGTCAAGTGTCCAAGGTCATACGACAATGTTTATCATGTTTCAGGTTCAGGGCTTCAGTTCATCCACCATTTATGGCCGATCTACCTGCTGATAGAGTCACAGCAGCTCGCCCATTTTCAGGCGTAGGGACGGATTTTGCAGGTCCCTTCTTAGTCAAAAGCAGTTTGCTACGGAATGCCAAATCAGTCAAGGCTTACCTATGTGTTTTTGTATGTTTAGCTACCAAGGCAGTTCACCTTGAAGTGGTATCAGCATTGACTACCGACGCTTTCGTCGCATCATTCACCAGGTTTGTCAGTCGACGAGGCCTGCCTTCACTCGTCAGATCGGATAGAGGTACAAATTTCATTGGGTCAAATTCATATTTAAAGGAGATCAATCGGTTTTTGGTCGATAATGAGATTATTCTGAAGGAAGAGTTCAAGCAACAGAATATTCGCTGGGAGTTCAATCCTCCTGCTTCACCTCACATGGGCGGCTTATTTGAAGCTGCAGTCAAAAGTACAAAAAACCTACTCAGGAGAGAGGTTGGGGAAACTATTTTCACTTTTGAAGAGTTGTCCACTCTATTTTCAAAGATCGAATCGATTCTTAACTCACGCCCTCTAGTTCCGATGTCGGACGACCCGTGCGATCTTGAGGTACTCACACCTGGCCATTTTCTAATTGGCCAGCCCCTAGTTGCCTTACCAGAACCTCACTGGAAGGATACGAAAATGTCGCGATTGTCACATTTTCAAGTTATTCAAAAAATGTATCAGTCAATTTGGTCACGATGGCATATTGAATACCTCAATACTTTGCAAGCACGTAATAAGTGGTATAATCATGTTAGCAACATAGAATTAAATGATTTAGTTCTTATCATAGATGAAAACTCACCCCCTTTACATTGGAGGAGAGGTAGAGTCATTGAATTGTTCAAAGGTTCAGATATGATTGTTAGGTCAGTTAAGCTTAAAACTCAATCTGGCGATCTCATTCGACCAGTAGTCAAATTATGTAAATTACCTATGAAATGTAATTTAAGTTAGTCATAGTCTTATTATGTAAGATAGTTTATCAGATGATACAGTTATTGTTATTAATAGTGTTAAGATCACTTTCATAATACTTAATGTATTTAAGTTGTAATAATACTTCAAGTGTTCAGTTCAGTTTCTTCCCTGGTGGCGGCAGGAATGTTGACGCAAAATCAACATGTTGTAATCAATATAAATAAATTGTAATTTCAAATTTCCCGCCACCTATTATTATTGTCACACTTTGCTAATCTGTAGTTTCAAAAGAGACCTCTGATTGGTTGTTATAATTAGAAGGACTCTTAAAATTATTATGGCGATATAATTTGCTCGTGTTGGTACATTTGTCATTTTTGAGTACAATTAATAGTTCATTAAATCAGTTTTAACGTTCAGAAAATCGTTTCATTGAGAAAAGCCACCAACTAAGTAGAAAGGAAGGTAAATAATCAACGATCACCCGTAAAAATCACAAATCGCTGCGGTTGCCATCGACGCTTCGAACCCGCCGTCGGCGCCGAGCTACAAATCAACATCACATGTATATTGTATTATATATGCAGCGTGAATGTGTATCAGCTGCTCTTGAATAATTTGGCAGTATGATCCTCTCAGGAGGTTGTGGCACAGGTTCTCTAGGACTTGGTAATAAGTAGTGATCCGCAAAATATTGAAAGTATCGATACTTACTCGATACCAAGTATCGTATTAAAAGTATCGATACCGGTATAAGTATCGTATCAAAAGTATCGATACTACTTGGTATCGAGTACTTTTTAACGTATTGAATGAAACATGACAAATGATTAGTTAAAAGTGGTTTATTACAAATAAACAGAAAAAACAACAGAAATAATTAAAACCCCCAGTCTGTTTCTGAACAATCTGATAAAAATAACAATTTCTCAAGCCTTGAACCAGTAAGACGATTGCGAGCTTCGCTTATTGTTGCGCCAGCTTTAGAAAAAAGGCGCTCTGAAGGCACTGATGTGCCTGGCACAATAAGGTATTTTCGTGACAATACATAGAGCTTCGGGAATACTGACTTCATATTGTCTTCCCACTGCTGAAAAATGTCAGACTTTAAAGGGGAAACTGGGTCCGCAAGGTACAGCCCCACTTCATGCTTTTCTCCATTGTGTTGCTGTCTAATTCGTCTTCTGTGTGCTAATTTCCTATGTGGACTCAAAAAGTCAAATTTCTCCTCATTTTCTGACTCCGAAGACTGATTCGTAGGGCTTCTGTTATTGTCATCAGCATTGACCGTTCTCCGTATAAATGAAATAGTTCCAGCGCATGCATTTGCATTAGAAAAATGAATATTTTTGAACCTTGGATCTAGAATAGTTGCGACTGCTAAGTTACGGTTGTTTTCAATTGGGGCGAAACGGTTATTGATTTTCTTTAAAAATCACTCTTTTAGTGGTTCTACGATTTTTTTCTCATCGTCGCCATGGCATTTAATGTTTTTTATCTGTTCGCTCAAGCAGTTAACCGTTGGTATAATTTTGCTCATGGTCGAGTACTTTTCTCCAGAAATATCTCTAGTCACATATTCAAATGGCTGTAAGACGAGCATAATTTTTTGGATGATGTTGTTTTCCATTGCGGTTAAAATATCTGGAGCATTTGGAACTTCCAGTAAGATTTCGTTCACAATGCTTCTCAGTTCTATATAACGTTCCAACATATAAAATGTTGAATTCCAGCGTGTCTTGACATCCAGCTTTCATTTTTTTTTCACCTTGTTTCCTTCTCAGTAAACCACTGTGATTGACACTATTTTATCTTATCTTATTCATAAATAAGTTTAAAAGTGATTAACTATTCATGATTTATTAAAGAATGTTTTTTAATTTTTATTAATTAAAATCTATATTCATATTTAGAATAAAAGAACATAAAATAACCAGTCAAATTGTTCCTCAAAAAGTTGCAAACATGTACCAAACCTTATAAGTTGTCAACCCAATACACAGTATGTTGACTAGTTGGGAATTCCATGCAACTCCTTGCGAAAAACTAGTGATGTAATGTGAATAAGTGTTACGATTACGATTAATATAACCGGTTTTTGGTAAATTGTTATAAAATGGGAAATTGTTTTAAAAAGAACTTGCGAAAGTATCAAGTACTTTTGAAAGTATCGATACCTACTAAGTATCGAAAGAAAATGTATCGAGTACTCAAATACTTGGTATCGAAACGAAAGTATCGATATTACTCAGTTATCGATACTTTTTGCGGATCACTAGTAATAAGGGGTCTGCTATTTGGTAACATCGATGGCATATCAGATAGCCGAAATAGTTAAATTAAAGGAAAAACAATCTCAAATAAACACACACAACAGGAAATCCGAAACGAGAATTCACGAATGCCACAGATTACTACGAATGCAAACTGCTGCACCGCAACCACAGAGTATCGAGTTTTATGCCGGCCCTTCACTAGACAACAGTCTGTCATTGGTAGTTTTCCAATTACAGCACTACAGCGCATTATGCGGCATAATGCCTATCTTAGCGCACTCTGCTGGTGCATTTGAAAACTAATTCACGTTCCAATTAAGCATCAGCATTACGCGCCACTGTGTCGCATTATGCTCTGTAATTGGAAAACTACCCTTGTCATGCTTAATATGGAATAAAAAGGACAGACTGTCTCAATCCTCCTCGTCGTCAATATGCTTATTCAACCATGAGATAACCACTCGTTTAGATTAAATCAGTGACATCACATAAACATTCAGTTCACTATTTACCCTATTGTAGAGAAATCCTGATTGGTTGTGGAATTTATGTTTTGGCAAATATGGTTCCGATTATTGAATATATTACCTCATCCACAGTCTTCCTGGTCCACAGATGCGGGCGTCGTATGTGAGACATGCAAGCGGCTACTATCGCACCACATGATGATTGGAGCAGAGCGTCCCGTGTGAACCTGGTGAATGAATATGGTGAAGACCTTTATGTATCTAGAGAAAAGTTTACTAGGGAAATCATTCGCCCAGCATGGTTGCCAACCGTTGATTTTTTATCCTCGCACTTATTTAGCTAGAAATCTCGTAATCTGGCTTTAGAACCACGTATATTGATTGCGTATAGGTCAACGGGTCAACGAACCATAGACTGTAAATAAAATGTTTGTCAAAATATCAAGCTCACACTTCCAAGCATGTTTGTTACGTAGGAAAAGTTACGTAGTTTGTGATGGAATCGAACCAGTGGGACTTACTGGTTCGATTCCAACACAAACTGAATGCAATGACCGCTATACTAACGAGAGCTTAATGGACGTTTTGAATTTCGAATTTCTAGTTAAACTAGAATATTCACAGAAATAAGTCAAGATAATCACTGTGACAATAGTAAATGAGATGCCTTGTAAAATGCTGAATATTCGAAAGGAGAAATTCTGTTTTTTTTTCATTTTCATAATTTTTTTATTCGATTATTTACAATATGTCTTTTTAATTATGTTATTTTTAATCAAATTTCAATTTAACGTTTAATAATATACTGTCCGTGCTCGAGGCTGCTATTTGATACAGCCAGGGGCGCGGGCAGAAGTCCGAAAGAGGAAGCATAGAAGGATAGTAAAGATAAAAGTAGGTATACAAGAAAATAGGGAGGTGAAAAACAAAGTAAAGAAAAGTCGAATCACATTAGTGGCGTTAAATACTACTCGTTTGCTTCGAGTTGGCCGTCGATAGCCAATCACAGGCACATCAACTGGTACCATCGTCCAATAAGGTCGACTAATAGGGACTGTCTAAAGCGCGGTGTTCTGAAGCTGGGAGGGTGGAAGCAGCCAATTCGAAGCGAACGCGTAGTGCTTTGGTTATTAAAAGTATGCGTTATTAATAGAATGCAGGGTTCACTCAACGCATTCACGCAAACTCATGCACACACACACACACACGCAATCATACTCAAATGAGTCCTAAGGTAATTATTATATACACTTTTAAACTATTATATAATATAACGTAATTATTACATTCACAGAAAAAAAAAAACTTTAAGAGCGTGCGCTGCGTTAAGCGGGACACAGAGCGGGCGACCCGCTCGGCGCGCTTGCTTCATGTCATTTCATAGAGCAGCGCCACGTGAGATGGGTCTCCGAGAAATGACACAAAAAAAACGGCCAAATTTTTACATATATCTAGAGAAAGATTTCCTGAAATTATACAGTTGCAAGGTTTAATTCAAACATTATAAATTAATAAATATTTCCAACACTCACACCAATTAGCCTAGCCCTAAAGTAAGCACTGTAAAGCTTGTGTTATGGGATACTAGGGTAACGGATAGAATACATATACCGTACATATATAAGTGCATATATTCAGAAATACATATTAAACATCCATGACTAGATTTCAAATGCTCGTATTCATCACACAAATATAGGTGACAACTTGAAAGCCGGCGTACAAACCACTCGGCCACGGAAGGTCGTCATCAAGGGCGGATCCAGGGGGGGGGTCATGGGGGTCATGATCCCCCCTGGGCTAGGTACAGATGGACCAAACCCAGGGGGATTTTGTTTAAGTACTTTCAATATTTAATATACCACGACTATATGACCCCCCTGACGCCAAATGACGACCTCCGTGGTCGAGTGGTTTGTACGCCGGGTTTCATGGTGTCACCGACTCGAGAGGTCCCGGGTTCAAATCCCGGTGGGGGCAGATGTTTGTATGATGAATACGAGCATTTGTACTCCAGTCATGGATGTTTAATATGTACTTCTATATAAATATACTTATATATGTACTGTATATGTATTCTATCCGTTACCCTAGTATCCCATAACACAAGCCTTATAGTGCTTACTTTGGGGCTAGGCTAATTGGTGTGAGTGTTGGAAATATTTATTTTATTATTATTTATTATTATTAAATCAGGATCCGCCCTTGGTCGTCATTCTTAAATACATTTTGCAACTTACACAAAAAGCCTTTAATACTAACTTCACAATATCCGGCGGCCTTGTCCCCCTCAATATAGTTCTTCCTTTAGCCGTCTCCACGTAGGCGGTGAGCACCTTCCACTCATACCCTTCGTCGGGGACACTGCCTTGGGGTGTGACGGCAGTCGGCAATTTGGATATCTCCCAGGCTACCTTGACAGCGCTGATGGAGAACCTGGTGAAGTTGAGTAAACCGACTTAGACCAAGCTCTTCCAGTGGTCTCCTTATACACTCATGTCAAATTATTCGGTATACGAATTTAAAGATGGTTTTATAAAGACGTATTTTTGAAGTTATACTTCTTTAGGCGCGTTATGAAAAAATGATGAGAGTGAAATTTTAAGATGCGCGCGCATCACTGTAACACAAAAAATTAACAGCATGAAGTTGGTCGCTAAAGCGACCTGTTCATGCTGTTACTTTTGTGTTTACCGCACATTAAGAAAATCTACTAACAAAATAGAAATAGAATCTCTATTTAGTGGGTGCTAACGACTGCATAGTGAAGGCCTATCAAAAGTATTTATTAATCTGGAACAACGGAACCAAAGCGCGATTCAGGAGACTACAGCGCCATCTCTTGACCATTGGTGTAGTAGAACCAAAAACCACATCTTTATTTTTTGTAATAAAGTAACAGTTATAGGTATTCATATTTATAATATTTACCCACATGTTTCTAGTTTGTATATTCGGAATACGTGTTTGAGTTTCATACAAGTGCAAATCACATATGTTCTAATAAATTATATTCAGTAGCGATTTTAATTGAATATTTTGATTATTTATTTATTTTTTCAAATTAAAACTGAACTTTATTGACTGTGTCCTTTTCCAGACTTTTTATTAATTTATTGTAATTAATTATTTGCATGCAATTAAAAACTAATTTTAAACGATGCCAAAGAAGGATAACTTCTCACGCGCCTACATAAGTACACGCACCCACTTTTTTTTTATATATATATATAGCCATGTAGGCAAATGACTCTACCCCACCTGATGTTAAGTGGTGATAAAGTCTAATCGCGAAAATAGCTGGTACAGCAGTTATAAACTGCCACACCAACCATCCTCACCTTGCCGGCCTGCAACAATGCTTCTGCACGCCTCTCTTTAAAAAACCCCAGATTGTAGGAAGGAGGGAACACGTGCGCGAGTAAAGAATAGGGTATTTGACAGTATTAAAAATAAAGTGCCTAATGTTAACATCTGTGTTTAGAATGAATATTGGCAGGGGTTTTTACTAAAAAAAAATATTCATAATTTTACTAAAAACCCACGAAAAAGAGAATACTTTTCTTATCTATTGTCACGTGGCCCAAAACGCTTGGGATTGGTCGAGCCTAAAATGACGTCACACGCAAGTAAACTTCCGGTTAAAGTGACATTACATTGTATGACGTTTGACGTTTTAATAACAGTCGTGTGACGTCACACACTAGTAAGACGCCTTATTGTCCAGAGAAACGTTTTCGTGGCAACTTGAAAATGGAGTTTTTGCTTTGGTTATTTTTATTAAAATACACAACAGAATGATGAATATCCACTTTTTACGGACTCCATAAACATTAGTCAATAACGTGAGATCGTTTTCTAAAACTTGTCAAATACCCTATTCCACTTACGAATAGTACGACAAAGAAATGAGTTACCAAATTTCTTTGTTCGTGTAGGAATAGTGGCCACAGTAAGTCGGCGGCGACGTAGGCCAGCGCGCGTGGTCCTCTGAAGAAAAGGTGATGGAGGGATAAAGAAGAATAATTCTTCAGAACACTCGCCGTGGTATTTATAAACGCACATACATACAATTAAAAATAAAAGTCATTCTACTACTGCTAGCTGTATCGCCAAATGCCTTTTCTATCATCAAAGCATTATTTAATTATTCTATTAGGCATTCGTAGTTTGAACTTAATTTCCCGCGCTTCCCATACAATTTTCTGCTGATCGTGTTTTGTTTCCCCTGTTCCATACATCTTCACTGATTTGTCCGTTTTGATTCCATTTATCGCTACTGGTTGTGATATATGGAACTTTCTATTCCATATATCCTTACTGATCCGCACTGATATATGGATAATTGGATATTTTTTTCCATTTTCCGCTACCAGTAGGGATAAGTTTTCAAGATTTTTTTATATGTTGAACTAGTTATAACTAGTTATTACAGAACAGAAGCTAAAATATTAATTGATCACTACATACATTCCAAAAAAAAAAATACTTTTTCGTACCACTTGCTCAAAAAAGTGACATTCTATGCCACAGAAAAGCGAACATAACAATTGTCATTTTTAATCTGTTAAAAACAGGGAAAGAAAATTGTACTGAATTTCATTCATCCTCTAGGGGGAGAATGTGATTTAAATTTGGAATACTTACCGAAATTTATACTGAACTACATCTGTGTCCACACCATTGAGTTTGTATATAAAGCATTATACATCTTTTTGAAAAAGGAATACGCAAGTTTCTCAGACGCAAGAACAGAGAAATACTCAAATCAACTCATCAACAATAAATGTACCAAACAAAAATGTAACTCTCTCTATCAATAATTGGACCAATGTTTCGAATGTTAACTTTTACTATTAATTGTCATTATTTTTAATAAATGCTTATCTCATATTATTATTGTGTTAATTTTTTCGCAAATGGTACGAAAAGTAGAGTATTTTCCTCGGTGATAAAGCTGTCTTAGTCTTGGGTGAACTTAAATCCCTCGCTACACTCAGGACTCGTCTTAAATCCCTCGCTTCGCTCGTGATTTAAGTTTTTAACACCCTCACTACGCTCGGGAGTAAACCTCGAGTCCTTCGTTACGCTCGCGATTTAAATCGTCACCCGCGACAGAAGACACTGCTTTATCCCCTTGGTTAATAATCTACTATTCCACTTCAACCCACTAATTTTTATTTCAACCACTAACTTGTTAGGCCCAGCTCTTCCAGTCCCCTCCACATTTCTCCTTATAGTATCAGCCAATTCTCCCAAATCGCTGAACACGACCAAAGCGGCAGCACCCATGGGTGAAGTCTTTCCCGCCGGACCGACGAAGTGAGGTTCCCACAGACAGCAAGACTTATCGTCTGCGGCTTTCCAAACACCTACGCAGTAGTTTTTCGAGCAAACTATGCCGTGCTTGTTCTAAAACAAGGAAGCTTAGTCAAATATAGAGGAATTCTTTAAGTCGTTTGAACGATAACGCCAATTCTGAACTTTTAAATTACTACTAGCTGACCCAGCGGCGCCATAAAAATAGGGGCAGGTGATAGAAGAGAAAATTTAGGTACAAAAAATTTTTTAACGCAGTGTTCTATCAATTTCCTGGGATATCATTCCTCCTAACCCATATGAGAACACTACGTTACAATACCCAATAGTTTGAATTTTGGCGCAAAGGCGCATTGTAGATTACAGAATACTACGTTACAGGTGGACAACCATTAACACTTAAGGATGAAAAATAGATAGTAGCCGATTCTCAGACCCGCGGAATTTGCATATAAAATTTCATAAAAATCGGTCAGGCCGTTTCGGAGGAGTATGGGTGACACGAGAATTTTATATATAAGACTAGCTGACGAAGCGAACTTCGTACCGCCATAAAAAAATAGGGGTTGGTGTAGAAAGTTGAAAATTTAGGGATGTATGTATTTTTGTATGATGTATCATAAAAAAAATTAAAAAAATATATCTAAAATTGAAAAAAAAAATTAGGGGTGGATTACCTTTAGGGGGATGAAAAATAGATGTTGTCCGATTCTCAGACCTACCCAATATGCACACAAAATATCATGAATCGGGAAAGCCGTTTCGGAGGAGTTTAACCACAAACACCGCGACACGAGAATTTTATATATTAGATATTCCCCCGCGATTTCGTCCGTGTTAAATTTAGTTTTATTGAAACCTCTTACAATCTAAATGTTTTTCGAGATAATAAGTATTCACCGTCTCAAAGTAAGCAATGTAAGTTGAAATTATATCAGAATACCTGTAACCTAAATATTGATGTATTTATGATAGAAGCAGCTTTGTTCCGAGCCAAATCTCTTTGGGCACAGAAACCATGTATTTTTAGTGACTTTATAAGGTTTCTCTGTTCTTGACTTTTTGCCTTCGAAGCGTAGACATAACCAAAATCATCCTAGCACAATTATTTAAATCAATTTTATTTTTAAATCTTACCGATTCAAAGAATCTATTCAAAGCACGTCGCAGATTCAAGACTCCGCCATATTCCCCAGCTTTTATGTCTCCAGTCACTGTGTTCGGTGCAATCTCTAACTTCACCTACACACAAACATTATGCTATTATATCTTTCTATTTATTATATGAGCTCCACCGGCTTGAGAAGGCACATCGTCGTCCAAATCGTTGGTGCTGGCAAAATCTACAATCGTTCGCACCCATCAATGTGTATCATCAATGTGTCCTAGTAGTGGGGATATTGAAAATCAAATCAACTAACACATCCATCACTTATTCCATCAACTCTGTCAAACATCAGTAAGTATATTTGAAGGCGACACCAGAAACATGAGAAATTGCTCTGATGGTCATCATTACTGCCTAAACCTATACCCCCTTATTAATAAACGAAGAATAAGCTTGGATTAGTTACTCCATGTTATGTGTCTGTTCATTAGGCGCGTCTACACAGAGCGATCAGCCTCGCGAGGCATTTGCCGCGCGAGGAAAGTGTCCCCGAACGAGCGCGGCAGCCTCGGTGACACCGCGAGGCTGCCGTGTGCGGCAAGCCCGAGCCAGTTTTTTTCGTTCGTTCATTCTCGTGATTTTTCCCGCCTGAAAGATCCCATCAACGACTCCATTTTCTTTTTTAAATCAGGAACTGGGACATTCATCTCGTGGCTAATATTTAACCAGGCATCGCGATTTTTCCCACCTGAAAGATCCCATCAACAACTCCATTTTCTTTTTTAAATCACGAACTGGCACATTCATCTCGTGGCTAATATTTAACCAGACATCGCGATTTTTCCCACCTGAAAAATCCCTTCAACGACTGCATTTTCTTATTTAACCCGGCGTCATGGGGGCTGGGTCAAAATTACCCGCACTTTTGTATTTCGCTTATAATTTTACAACGACGCGCGCGACGTTGTCGCTCTTCGCAGTAGCTGGAGTCATTGAGTCCCTCTACACGTTTATCCCGCGAATTCAGTTTGGCGAGAGCCACGTTGAGAGGTACAAGTGTTGTCACGGGAAAAAGGTAAATATGACCCATGCCTGTATTCAGTGAAACTGTTTTACGCCTTTTTAATCAGTAATTGTTTAAATGATTTATTGTTATTTATGATGCTTTGTATTAGTGTTATTACATTGTTTTGAGGTTTTGACGATTTTTTTTAATTTTTCGGTAGGTAGTACGAGTAATAATGGATCACGAACAACTGGAAAGATGTCTTATTATGGCGGTACTTGAAGAATCGGACTCTGATGTTATGCCGTCTGATCAGGAGTCTGGAGAGGATGATGACCACGTGAATGAGCGTAGTAAAGCAACCAATACGGAGCAAGAGATTTCGGATGACGACGAGGTTCCATTGGCTATAATTAGACGTAGGGTACAGTCTGAAGCAAATCTGCAGCAGGAGGAATATGCATCAACAAGTTTGTCGACTCGTGATTGTGAGTACACACGGCAATATTTTGGTAAAGATGGTACGGCTTGGTTTCGAAAGCCAGACAGAATTCGAAATCTTCGACAGAATGTTCGAACAAAAGCTGAAAATATAGTCGACCAGTTGCCGGGGGTAGCTCTGGAAGCTAAGGCTGTTTTGTCGGAATTTGCGAGCTGGAACCTATTTTTTATTGACGAATTGTTGCAAATTATTCTAAAATATACAATCTGGAATCTACAGACGAGCCCCCAGCAAAAAAAACAAATGCTCGTAAGAGGTGTCAAGTGTGTCCTGCAAGCAATAATCGCAAAACTACACACGTATGTGAAGGATGCAATAAACATATTTGCCCTCAACATATAGTGCCTTTCTGCGCTAATTGTATTGATAATAATGAGTCTGACTAACTTATTTTTATTATTTTATATAAGAAGATATAGAAGAGTTCTATTAGAACACCAAAGACTAGTTAATATTTTTTTATGTTAACTTTTGCTAAGGAAAGCCAAATTTCTTGATTTTTAGTGAATAGTTTTCAAAACCTTATTCCTATTAATAAAAGTTTATATTTTCATTATGTTTGTGGTTTTGTATTATCCTTATAAAGTAAATTATTGTATGTTACAAAAAAATATCGTTTTTCTCAAATACATACAGAAATATTCACATTCCTTATCAGGGTAATGATGACCCAGCCCCCACGTCCGTGTAACAGTTTCCCACCCCCATGACGCCGGGTTAAATCTGGAACTGGGACATTCATCTCGTGGCTAATATTTAACCAGGCATCTTCCCTAAGTCCTCTATTTGTAAAATTAGGATCATTGCACTCCATAGCCAGGTGTTTACACCATAGAGAGATATTAATTTAAAACACTGATCTTTATTCATAATTATTATGCTCGACCGAGGCATGAAACAAAATACGCGAGTGCGCAGAGTGCGTGCGGCAAACGACCGAGGCGCCTTTGAGCAAAACAAAAAACCGGCACTCGATGGCTCGGGCGCTCAGCATGGTTCCCAACTTAGGGGTTTTGCCCCCAGATTTAGAGGCTAGAAGTGTTAAAACGGACTTTTTTTAGGGGCTTTTATCAAAACTTGCAATTAAATCGAAAAACAACGCTGTGTTTTCTTTCAGTTTTGTGCGTAGAATGGAACGCACCACGATATGAAACGACTGAACTGACTGTGTGGCGGGTTGTTTCCTAAGGCTGTATGAACTAAAGTTAAAAAAACAGCTAAATAAGATTTAACAGCCTGTCAGCTCATTTTCGTTTGATTGTCCTTTCGGAAACTGTATTTATTCAATAAAATAATTTACTGTAACTAAATATGTAATGTTTTAATTTACGAGCAACGAAAGAATTTGGGTAAGTAAAGTAGGTACTTAAAAAATTGTATATTTAGAGGAATTTAAAATATACTTAGGGGAAAATTTTGTAAGGGTTGGTAACACTGGCGCTCAGTCGCTCGCTCGCGGTAGCGCGCGCACTTGCCTCGGCCGAGGCACGTCTACATTAACCGAGCTGCCTCGCGAGGCTGCTCGCTCTTTGTAGACGCGCCTAATGACAAATGAATTTGAGTGACAGAAACAAGTCTTAAGATTACTTCTTATTTATAAATAAAGGGGATTAAGTTTCCAAAACAAAACTCATATAATTGTGCTACTCACATTAAAACTAGTCACGTGGAACTCCGTCTGCAGCTCCCCAGGTTCCAGGTTCGGTGGTCTACTGGCATTCGGTAAAGACATAGTGTACAACCGGTCCCCGTACTTGAGTACGGCATCGATCAACTCCGCCTTCCAGAAGGTGTACGGTTCTATGCTGTCTACCACTATGCCCATAACTGAGTTTGCTGCGTCCTGTTAAAAAAAACTGAAATGAAATACCTTTATTTGCCATCTTATATACAATATAAACACCTACTAATAGAAACAGAGAAAATAAAAAAGAAAGTTTACCTAAGAACAAAAATAACCACTAAAACTAAGACGGCCAATCAGAACACTGCCTTAGTTTATGCTGACACATTAAGAGAATACTCTCTCACTGTGTCAGCGCTAGTGTTCGGGCAGCGCCTGTGCGAGGACGTGTTAGGCGCTAAAAATTTGGACAAAAGTAAAATTCGGTTTCGGTTCGGTTTCAAATCGAATTCGCTGAGGGTTTGTAATAATGAAATTGTGTGTATCATATGTTTACTCAAATCTTAAAATGACAAGATATTACGTGAGACATCGAATTAGTCTTTTACGTTACGAAATAAACATTTAAACTTTTTTGATTTTCTGGTACTCAAGATATCGCCTTCTCAGAGCTCCTGTGTTCGAATCTCCCGAAAGTGCTTGTATGATGATTCGAACATTTGTGTCATTATTGTTTATACTTATATTGGCAGTGGAAAAACAAAATCGGTTAAACGCCACTTTAGTATCTTTACCGAAACGAGGACCTAAGTTGTTTTTTTACAAAATAAATCATAACTCACTGTAAATGAGAAGAAGCGCCATAAAAATAAAAAAAAAACATAATATTCATAAAATAATATTCTCCAAATATCCACATATTAAAAAGTTACATATAGTACCTTTACTTAAAGAATTAGATGTCGCTTAAGCGAAACTCAAGCAAGCAAAAAACAGCAAAATTTATGTCGCTTAAGCTTTGTGAACAATAAAAATCTACAAAATATTGAGTTGATTTACCGCCAAAAAAGTACTCAAATCTGCACGACGCAAACAGATCGACGCGAAATTTTTTTTTTATTAAAATCACACTAATATTATAAAGGCGAAAGTTTGTTAGTGTGTGAGTGTGTATGTTTGTTACTTCTTCACGGCTCAAGCAAATTTAATAAAATTTGGTGTGGAGTTGGCTGACACCCTGGATTAACACATAGGCTACGTTTTACTGCGGGAAAATATCCCTTAAAAACCACGGGTAACACGGCGGGGCACAGCTAGTGATATATATCTCATTTTCGACCAGTGGTGTACTAGCGGTTTTGTCTATCCACTGTCGATATATTTATAGAAAAACTAGCTGACCCAGCGAACTTCGTACCGCCATAAAAAAATAGGGGTTGGTGGTAGAAAGTTGAAAATTTAGGGATGTATGTATTTTTGTATGATGTATAATAAAAAAAAATAAAAAAAAATATCTTAAATTGAAAAAAAAAATTAGGGGTGGATTACAAAAATAAGAAATTTTGTGTACCTATGACATTTTAATATTCATTTTTGTGTATGACATTATAACCTAACCTAACTTGACCTTTGATTTTAATTATTTTATTTGATGAAAATTATTAAATTTAAATTATGTAATGTATTAAATTAAATAAATGATTAGGTGTATTTTTTTTTAGTGACATGTGCCTATTTCTATAATAATTGATTATGTATTGTTATTATGATTATGAGTTATGTTGCTCGAAATAAATTAATTTTATTTTTATTTTTTATTTATTTATTATTTTTATTACCCTTAACATTTAGGGGGATGAAAAATAGATGTCCGATTCTCAGACCTACCCAATATGCACACAAAATTTCATGAGAATCAGGACAGCCGTTTCGGAGGAGTTTAACCACAAAAACCGCGACACGAGAATTTTTTATATTAGATAAGATATACTTATCATTGTATCATTATTTGTATTGCTAACCGTTCGCCTAGAAACACAAGCGTTACACTGCTTTAAAACTATGTGAGTGTTAGTAATAGGAGCTCGATGGCGCGGATTGTTAGCGCGTTCGGCTGCGATCGTTGAAGTTAAGCAACTTTCGTAGTGGTCGGTCATTGGATGGGTGACCAAAAATTTACCATCTCGAGCTCCTCCGTGCTTCGGAAGGCACGTTAAGCCGTTGGTCCCGGCTGCATCTGCAGTCGTTAGCACCCACCAAACCGCACTGGGCGCGCGTGATGGGTCATGGCCCAAACTCTGTATTCCATCCATAGGAAAGTCCTGTGCCCCAGCAGTGGGGACATTAATAGGCTGATGATGATGATGAGTGTAAGTAATATAATTTATCTAAATTAAGCTTTCTTACTTGATGGTCCCTATTCGGTTGGTCCATAAAATAGTTCTCCCCTTGAGCCACGTTTCCTCGTAGGGAAGCCACGCCTCGACTCAATCGCGTATAGTGTGGACCGAATGCGTTTTCATCTAAAGCTTCGACGAGGGCTTCCGATTCTATGCAGAAAAGGTAAATTAAAATAAATAATAAATTAATGTATTCGGTTGCGATCGTTGAAGTTAAGCAACTTACGCAGTGGTCGTTCATTGGATGGGTGACCAAAAATGTTCTATCTCGAGTTCCTCCGTGCTTCGGAAGGCACGTTAAGCCGTTGGTCCCGGCTGCATCTGCAGTCGTTAGCACCCGCCAATCCGTACTGGGCCCGCGTGGTGGGTCATGGCCCAATCTCCCTGTTGCATCCATTGGGAAGGCCTGTGCCCCAGCAGTGTGGAAATAAATAGGCTGGATGATGATGATGATGAATGTTTAAGTGAATCTGCGATCGCGGAAGATAGGAAAACTTCCCAATGTCAGGTCATAGAATAGGTGTTCAAAATTTATTACATCTCACTTCATCCGTGCTTCAAAAAGCACGTTAATCAGTACCCTTAGCACGAACCAATATCGAATTCGAACAGCGAGTGCGAAATGTCATTGTCACATTTTGTATGGAAACATAAACAGCTTGTCACAACGGACGCAATGAGAACTAAAAGCCAGTACACATTTGACAATGACATTTCGCAGTCACAAACTATTCGAATTCGATATTGGTTTGTGCTAAGGATACGGTTGCTTTTGGCTTTATCTGCAGTCCGTTTCCGTGAAAATAGTTTCCCAATTTATTGAAATTTGTATAAAATATAATTATCTTTTACCTATTTTTATCAGTTTGGACTCTTTCACCACTTAACATCAGGTAGGGTAGAGTCATTAGCCTACCTGGCTATAAAAAATTCAGCAGCATCAGCGAACGTATAAACGTTTTGCCAATTAAAGTTCACGGTAGTACTTAAAATTTTATTTTGCAAAGCACACGATTCTTTTTTCAAAGCGGAAAATGTGTGAAATGTGTTGAAGAATGTTTTTTAGGCAACATTACTTAATTTACTATAACTTCTTCATCACCTGCGCTTTCATTACCACGTTTTGGAATAACACTGAAATCATTACCAAGGTTTTTAAAATCAAGTGCTTTATCTACTACACCTTCTTCATCACCTGCGTCTTCATTACCACGTTTTGGAATAACACGGAAAATATTATCAATGTTTTTAAAATCAAGTTCTTTAACAACTATACCTTCTTCATCACCAGCACCTTCATCACCCTCGCCACTCCTGGCGGCAGTAGGCTTCCTGTCCTTCAGAACTGACGTCAGCTCGTTGACCACCTTCACTGGGTACAGCTTGTATGGCGCGAGGCACTGCTTATTGTCTAACGGGCCTTGGCGAGCTGGGAAAGGAATTTGTTTAATGTATTCTAATTCCGTTAAACGAAGAGTTTTATTATGCTATGGCTACACTATAGCGCTATCGTGAACATTTTCCGTTCTCACAATCCGGGTCAAGTAATAGTCTCTTTACAGAGGCTCAAGCATGATTTTTTTGACAGCTTCGTAATGCATCGTCAAAGTTTCTATGAAAACTAAGAAGCGCCTCTTTCGGTCGTAACAAGGAACTAGTATTTTACATAGAAAATTTGATGATTTCTACAATATTATAGGATGCAAGGCAGTAAGTTTCAACTATCAGCATTTGCTTGAAGTAAATTTGCTGAATCTCGATTTAACTAAAACTAGATTAATCTCATGATACAAAAATGTCAAAACGTTCAACGTCAATTTGAAATTGATTTGCGTTCGCTTAGATACGCACCGCACACTTAGTGCGATTATTCATATAGGCCACTTTATTAGGTATCGACTGTTTATTGTTTTCCTAGGGATTTTGCAAAAACGCGGAAAGGACAATGGGTAAAACACACCATGCTCCGCCAACAATGTATTAGTATGATTCGATAGATCTATGAAAAACTAGCTGTTTTTATTATGAATATTAATTATTATGAAATAATATCCTGGTAGTGAAAATATGTGACATATGGGCATATTTCAGTAGCTAAATAAATTCATAAATCATTCAGGTACCTTCATTTTATATTATTAGTAATCGTAATAGTATGCTATATCGTACTATACAACCAGATATACGACAAAGCCTGCCGACCATCCTGCGCTTGCACTTACTGAGACACTTCAAAACAGTTTACGGGGGTTGAATGACTTGCAGTTGCAAAAAATCGACTCGTCTTACTTCGTTGTGATTGTGCGTTCCCTATCACTTGATTGATTTTTATCTAACTCGCTTTGGACATTGGAACACGATTATTTATTTATTTATTTTTGAACTTTATTGACCAAAATATAAATATATAACATTGGTTCAAAAGGCGGACTTAATGCTAAAAGCATTCTCTCCCAGTCAACCTTTGGGAAAAATGAAAAACACGAACGGCGGTATAAAGCTAAATACGAATGCATATACAAATTAACATAGATACATATATTTTATTTATTTATTTATTTATTTATTTACTCTTTATTGTTATTTACAACAAATGGCGGACTTAATGCCACATGGCATTCTCTACCAGTCAACCATCGGGCTAAGCAGAGACAATTATGCGGTAAAGTAAATAAAAGCAAAAGGTGAAAGGAAAAAAAAAATTGTTAAACTACATGATACTTAATATAAAATTATAATACATAACATCTATAAATATACTTACATAACTACATATATATACATACATATTTATATATACGATAAATACCTAAATATATACAATAATAAATACCTCTATACTTACTTAACAATACTATAATAATAAAAATAATAATAAAAAAAATATAATAAAAATAATATTAATATTAGGCGGATTGACCAGAGTTTGATTATAATATACTTAGAAATTGAAATTGTTATGACTTCTTAGCGAAATGCCGACGTACGAGGACCTTGAAAGCAGGTTTACTGGGTGCTTTTCTCACACTCTCCGGAAGATCGTTCCAGAGACGAACAGCTTGGAGACAAAATGAGTTTGATACGAAGCTGGAGCAGTGGAAGGGGATGGACAAAAGAAGATTTTCAGATGAACGAAGAGGACGAGAGTGTGTGGAACTTAAAAACTGAAATTTGGACTTCAGGTAAGACGGAGCATTAGGGTCAAAAAGAATTGAGAACAGAGATGTGAGAATTCTTAAATCACGACGGTCTGAAAGAGGCGGCCAATTGAGTTCACGGCGAAATGAAGTAATATGATCATATTTCCGTAGACTGAATATGAATCGAATACAGCTGTTAAGAGACCGCTCCAATTTACCAAGAAGATCTTTATTTAGGTCAGGATAACACACATCAGCATAATCTATGGATGGTAGGACAAGAGCCTGAATTAAAGAGATTTTTGTGTGAACAGGGAGAAAATTTTTATATCTATATAGGGCACGGAGCATATTTGTGACCCGCCGACATGTCTCGTTAATGTGAGTGGACCAGCCAAAGGTACTGTCAATGTACAAGCCAAGATTCTTAACACTTGTAGAAAAAGGAATTTGCATGCCATTATAGACAATTGGACTTACAGCGCCAATATCAACCTTACATATTTGGCGAGATCCACCAATAATAATAGCCTGGCACTTAGTCGGGTTGACGACAACACCATAGCGCTCAGACCACTTGCAGAGCATATCAAGATCCTCATTGAGGAGAGATATAGTAGAGTCAATCTCATCAGAACTGCAACGGCGGTATAACTGCAAGTCGTCGGCGTACAAATGAAACGAACAGCGAAGAAAAGTGGATATGAAATTGATAAAAACGGAAAAAAGAAGTGGCGATAGGATACCGCCCTGAGGAACGCCAGCCGCTAAGCTGCACCAATCGGACTGCGATTTGTCAACACGAACCGCTTGATGGCGGTCGTGCAGGTATGAGGAAAACCATTTTAAGGTGGATGGAGATACAAACCGGAAACACTGGGTTCATTATTACACAACTCTTTCCAAAATCTACCTCACTCTTTTAACGTGTGTCATATAAATGCGCAAAGCATACCTTCTCATTTTTCAGATTTCATTGAAACCTTTTCTTCTGCCACTACTCACGCCATTTTTATCTCAGAAACCTGGTTAAAACCCTGTCTTTCCTCTTCTTCTTTCTCACTTCCTGGGCACACTCTAATCCGCAATGATCGTACTGGCAAAGGCGGTGGTGGTGTTGCCATATACTTACGTCATGGCATCCCATATAAAATTCTTAATTCATCTCCCTCTCTTTACTCCAGTTCTGCTGAATACATCTTCCTAGAAGTTTCTATCAAGGGAGTGAAAGTTGTTCTAGGCGTCGTCTATTCTCCCCCCGGTGTTGATTATTTCTCTCAGCTTGAATCTGTTCTTGAACCACTCTGCTCGGAATACGGACATCACATAATTATGGGTGACTTCAACACTGATCTAATGTGTAGCTCATCTCGCTCTCTTAAACTTCTTGATATTGTCAAGTCCGTTAATCTCTCCATTCTGCCTTCTAGGCCAACACATCATACCACTTCTCATGACACATGGCTTGACTTAATTTTAACTTCCCCTAATTTCGTTATTAATCACGGTCAGCTTACTGCCCCTGGTTTTTCAAAACACGATCTAATCTTTTTGCAGTATAGATTAAAACCACCAAAAACTAAACCTTCTGTTGTGTGGATGCGGAACTTTGCTCGACTGGACCTTGATAGACTAAGGGGGGATGCTTCTAAGCTCGATTTCTCAGCGATGTATGGTGCTTCGTCAATTGATGAGAAAGTTTCAAACTTTAACCAATGTGTTCTCAAACTTTACGATGCCCATGCTCCGCTAAAGCCTGTTAGAGTTAAGCGACCTCCCGCTCCTTGGATTAGTCGAGGTGTCCGTATAGCCATGACGCGACGAGATCGAGCATTCCGTGCTTTCAAGCGTGACAGGTCGGAGGAAAACTGGTCCTTATATAAGACAGCTCGTAATAGGTGCAACAGAATGGTGAGGGCAGCAAAGCGAGAATATTTTCATGAAAATATCTGCAACTCATCTTCGGCGAATGTATGGAAGTTTCTCCGTTCTTTAGGTTTGGGCAATTGTTCTGTGCAACCTGACTCCTATCCTTTCTCTCTTAACGATTTCAATAATCACTTTTCCACAACCAATTCTCTCGACCCACATATTAAGAATAAAGCTATCAATACTATTACTTCCAGAGCTCAATCTCTTTCTGATTCCTTTACTTTTTCTCCAGTGACAATTGATGATATTCGCAAAATTATTCTGTCTATCAAATCTAAAGCAGTTGGATGGGATGACGTCAGCAGAGAAATGATAGTCAACATTCTAGATTATATACTGCCAGCTATTGTACACATTATTAACTACTCCTTTCTCAACGGTGATTTTCCTCTAGCTTGGCGTAAAGCTTTCGTTCTTCCTCTGCCGAAAGTCTCGTCTCCTCAGCTACTTAGTAACTACAGGCCTATTTCCATCCTTCCCTTTCTTTCTAAAGTTCTTGAAGCCGTTGCTCATCACCAAGTATCCTCTTTCGTATTTTCCAATAATCTTCTCACTTCGTTTCAGTCTGGGTTTCGTCCTGGACACAGCACTACTACGGCTCTGCTCAAAGTTACTGAAGATGTCAGGATGGGCATGGAGAAACAGTTGGTTACAGTCATAGTACTCATAGACTTTTCCAACGCTTTTAACATGGTTGACCACGATATTCTCCTCGCCATCCTTAAATCCCTTAACTTCTCATCAAAGTCACTGGATTGGTTCTCCTCTTACCTTCGTGGCCGTCAACAAGCGGTTCGCATTGAGCAAAATCTTTCTAATTGGAACGATTTAATTGCTGGTGTACCCCAGGGTGGGATAATTTCTCCTTTACTTTTTTCTGTTTTTATTAACCTCCTTTCCTTCTCGCTTGGCTGCTTTTACCATTTCTATGCTGATGACCTACAAATCTATACTCAGACGTCGGCTGAGGATGTTGATATGGCCATCGAAACGTTAAACCTTAACTTGCAACGTATCAGTGCTTGGTCCGTCGATTTTGGAATTAAGGTAAATCCATCAAAATGTCAGGCCATTATCGTAGGTGGCTCTAAACAAATTGCCAAAATTGATTATGGGTCTCTCCAGCCTGTCGTGTATGAGGGCACGATTGTTCCGTTTAGCACAAGTGTCAAAAATCTTGGCATTTACATCGATTTTTCTCTTAGCTGGAACACACAAATTGCCGAAGTAAGTCGCAAAGTAATTTACTCACTTCGTGTTTTAAACAGATTTAGGAATTTTCTCCCCATTAACACAAAAATTTTGCTTGTAACATCTCTCATATTCCCGCTCATTGATTATGCTGATGTCTGCTATC